GTGGATTCAGAGTCTCAAAGGAATCGTAAAGTTCATCAACATGATCAAGGACACATGCAGAAAATTAAAGCTATGTACATGTAGTTGTATGCTCTAAAAATCCTAATATGCATGTTATAGTTTTCAATATACTTGCTCATAAATTCCTACATTAAAAAATTAAAATATTCCAAGGATTTTTTTTTTCATCTTATTACTTTATAATAAAGCAGTATGTATACTTTTTAAAAATGCTTCCACAAACAAGCAGCTTGTGAAGCTAGATTGTGAAAAGAAGGGGTGACATTCCTTCAAGGGTAAGTCAACAAAGTTATCAGAGATGCGATGATTTGGTCAGCGGTCAGTGACTGGACGACACGGATTCTGACACTTTGGTGTGGAATGTCACACGTGATGACCATCTCATGAATTAACACTAAACACATAGTGATCAGGTTGCAGCAACAGGTGACAATGTTTACCTTGAGTAAATCGACTCAAAAGACAGTCTCCATTTCTTTGACCTTCGTCACCTTGGTTTTTGAGTACATAATTTTAAAATTTGTGTCATATATATTAGTTATCAAAATTCCTAATTATTTTTGGTTCTTTTATATAAATTCATACACTTTAATTTTAAATTTTCCACATCAAGATTAGAAAGAAAACCTTACGTAGACAGACATCAGGACGAGGCAGGGTAAAAGATGCAGAACGTCGTATTAAATTTTTTAAAAAATCCTGCGAAATCAGAGACCAAACAATAAATTCACGTAATATTTAGCAAGTATTTAGCTCGCCTGTCCACTTAATCAAAATCCTATTCCAATGCTGGAAGGCCGTGCGTGCTTAAAATTGGAGGGGGTGTAGATTCTTTAAAAGATTGATCTCTTCATCCATGTTCTATTAACATATGGGTTAAAGAACCCATCCCTTCCAAAAATGGAAACGGATATATCTAGAATATGTAAGAAATAGGTAAAACTCTGAACAAATTAAAGAGGGGTATGATAATAATGTCAAAACATAGATTCTGATATTTGATACATCAACTTTATAGATACTTTAAAAAATAATAAAGCATAGAGCAAGACTTTGGAACTTCATGAGGCACTTTGAAATTGAGATGCCAAACAAACTGGTCAATAAGATGCTTTGAAAGGTTAAGCAAAATCAGTCAGATAGGTGTCGTGCAAGGTTGCAATTTTCCTTTTGGTAATTAGACTAAAGTGTGAAGAAGCAAAGACAAACAACAGCTGAGTAAAGTGTCTTGACTTTGTTAATTTGGCAAAATCTTCAACCTAAAAAAAAATGTATACCGAGAACGATAAAATATACTTGCTGAAGGAGCGAGTTTAACCGACTCAAATCTGAACCATTATGAAGATAAAGGAACAGCTACTACAAAAATGAAAAGGATTAGTGAGGTTACTTAAAATTAAATAAAAACCTCTGCTTAATTTGTAGACAAAACCTCGTTATAGCATCTACAGTGTTCTCACAAAGAACAGAGAACGCGTTCGATGTTAGGATGACAACGTACAAGAGCGAAGGAGGTGCATATACAGTCAAACCTCGTTATCTCGAACTCGGTGAAACCGAGAAAAAACTTCGAGATATTCGTATGTAGGCAATAGCAATGCTCTCGAATTGTCGCCCTTGGTAGCTTAACTGTACTGACAACCGAAGCAGTCCTACATGTATATAGCAGGCAAAGAATTACGAGCTCGAGGCGGGAATTGTTCAGATATGAAACCATGAACAGATTGAATTCTTTGTCGGAGTTTCTTGTACGTCTGCAGCATGGTTTAGCCTTAAATGTTGACATCTACAGGCAGTTTACATTTTTTCCTCCTGTGTGCTATGTAAGCCAACACCTGTTGATGATGAACGGTCAATAAGATTTTTAAAAATTATGCAACAGGATACATAAATGTTTTTAAAAAGTCCTATACTCTGCATATGAATGAAGTCCGTGTTGAACATCTTGATAAATATGATATTTTCTTTGATTAACATAACAATATGGTCTCTGTCGGCTCCGCTGGCAAGGTCACGAGTCTTTTTATAGTACAGTGAATTTGATCGTTGGTATGTGGTTCGGCAAGACTGTCAATGCCTTGTTTATCTCCACGCCGAGGAGTAAATCCACCCTGAGTTTGCGGGGTCACTTGTCAGTTTTGACATGTCAATTGTTGGAAATATAAAAAAATGTTTATAAACAACTCACTCGATCTGTAAAAGTGCATACAGATGGCTCCAAAAACAGATCGATTTCTTTAGTGTAAGGGTTACAGAGGTAATTTGCTATAAAATTGTTACAGATCTGAAAAGAGAGAGAGAGAGAGAATCAGAGAAATAGGAAGGGAGAGAGAGAGAGTGCTGCAGACTTGGATATCAAGAGTCGTGAGTTGTTCAGAGTGACCACTGCATCATTATTGGCTTCAGAATTGAAGACGTCGATTTTTATTACTATAATATACACTACATGTAGAACGAGATGTAGCTTTTTTTCTGAAGATCAACAATAATATTCTTTCAAGGACAGAATGTAACAAACAACTTGAAAATGTGAAGGCTGATGCATTGATAAACATGGTGAATGAATTTTGTTTTCCCTCGCTTTTTCTTCAAATTCCTATATGAGAATTTTGAGATATACTAAGTTCTACTACATCCATATCAAACGCACATTTCACCACTGTCATACCGCACAGCAACTGTATTCTGTTTTAGTTGGTAGATAGAACTTTTATCTACTACATGTATTTTTGGTGAACTTGCACAAACTTATAATCATAACCATTTAGAAGTTATGGAATTTTCGTCGGCTACAATATGCACCTACACTCACAGCAGATATTGCCGTTCATTTGGCACATATTGTAACTCTAAAAAAAAATTAGTTAGACATATTCATATCCTCTTCAGCGATAATATCTACACATATCGTCCTCGACTTCAAAGTCATGTGTGCATATGTTCGTGTGGTTATAGTTATAATATGTGTCAATCCCCTCTGTACACATCATCGTCCTTAGAGCTACGGTAATATGGATGATGATAATATCATGATGATATCGAAAATTTTCATGACATTAATATTGCATGTTCACATAAACTTTTATTTGCATTACCGTAACTTATGTCTTTTATGGTAGATATTTACTCATGCAGTTTACATAGAACAATAACTTTAATTTGAATTGATCCTTGGAATATTATTCTTTTTACTTCACATCAAAAATCTTGACGTTAGCCCATTGCAGAGGTGTCTGAGAGAGAAACGAACGACAACTCTGCACAGGCGTTTGGTACCATCATTGTAAAGTTCAATCCCATTTCCTTTGATGTAAAGACTATCAAGGTGAAAGAGTTCAGTTCACAAAATTCGCCATCTTCCTAAACTGACAGACGTAAATCATTAAACATAACAATTTACGATCTCATTTTTATTTCTATGATCAAATTAAGCTCTTTATCTTCTTGCATTGACAGGTGCCTAAACACCAAACCTTTCTTAATCTCCCCCAATAAAGAGTTCTACTGGAGGGGCTACCAGGTGCGTCGGTGTATAGATACAAGAGTTCATTAATTTCAAAGTGTGATAAAATTGCAGACGGGGTGCACCGTAAGAGCCTATATTGTCCATGATTCCTTAAGGTCACCCAGTTGTGCAAAATCACCCCCTAATCACCACTTCATTAATTTAAATGCTCTTCTTTTTCATAATGTAAATTCTTTTCAAAAACAACGATTTATGATGTTCCTCATAAGTATTTTGTATCTGAAATGAATGAATTGGCATCTTAATTCTACGGCCATGCGTTCAAGTCTTAGTTGTATACCATGTAAGAGAGGGTTGTTCAAAAAGTTTGTGTTCATATAATAAGTCATGTACTCATTAACAATTGAAAATTTTAAATTAGCGAAAGACATGATCATACGATTTTTTTTAATAATAATGAACAAAATAAAAATAATGAAAATAATCAAAATTGTACGATATTATTGTAATGTAGACCAAGATGAAGTAAATGTATAAAAATCAGAGCAATAAGCGTGCACAGTATTTTACTAATTTTATTTAGCATTATAAATACTTCGTACGTATAAGCCGTATGTAAGGTCAGATTCATAATAACGTCACGTCATTTCGTTATACCATCACTCCCACTTTTTGAACGCACCGAAAACTGTTTATGCCTCTTATAAGTAATTGAACTTGAAATATTACTATGCATTCGTGTTTAATAAATTATTTTTCGTCTCTGTTGTCAGTGGTTTCCACCAGTTCTATAACTGCACGATGTTCCGTTCAGATGACCAACTTCGCTTTTGGGGACATATTAAGGTAGTCCGATCCTCAGGTTCCGAAAATCAGCAGCTGAATATTTGAAAATGTTCATAAAATGTTTCTGAATTCACAATATAATGCGTTTTTATCCATGGTATTTCTTCAAATCTCATCAGTATAGTTGATCATATGATATAGGGAAAATTTTCAAATTTCAAATATATTTTCAAGAAATGCAAATAAAAGCAACAACTATGCATAAATACGTGTAAAAAAAATGTTTAGAATTAATAAAATCTATTTTTAGAGCTCACATACATCTACCGATCGCTCCCCCCCCCCCCCCCCCCCATCCCTGTGGTGGTGAGAGCAATTCACACAGCTCTATTTGAATTAAATAAGTTATGGCTCATGCACTTCAAACTGATCAATGCTGAGAGTCACAACTGTTTCATAAGATAACATTTTTATTAATTCTTTTATAGCCTCCTTAAAAGATGAGCCCAAAGTCCTTATTGTATGCAGTTTACCTGCTAAAACTGAGCACTAGTTGACACCATTTTAATAGTACAACTGTTTCAGATGAGTAACCAACCGTGCCAATTTTGTACATTGATTATCTATCATTATTTATAGTACATCTCTCCGTTTGAAATCTTCTCATGCATGGCTTCCCATTTATGATGGCATTGTTCAAATGGGTAAATTATAACAACCAAACATATGTCAGTTAGATCATCTTTATTTCATTTCATGTACTTTACTATAAATGATAAAATAAATAAATTACACATGATGGAATTTCTTTGGAAATAAATAAATTGGGACAAAATATGAATGAAAAAATGGTCTAAAGTGCACTCAACATCATATAAATATTCACATCCAAGCAGTGAATTCATGTACACATGAATATAAAAAAATGACACCCAAAATATGAATGTTGCCAAGCAACCAAATGGATACAAAGAATGAGAAACCTAAAGAATGAACAAAATTTTTAATTGTCGACATTTGTTCATTATTAGAGCACTATAAAAAATGCTAAACATGAAAAACGCAGCAAGTTACAATGTAACTATTTCAGTGGACAATTAACCAACTGATCAGATCAATCTGTGGGATATCCTAAAGCTATAAGCATTAGAGGGCTCCTCCCCCCAGACCAGCTGAGGGGGACCCAGAAAATATTTAAGGTCACAGACCCAAATTACATTTCCTTTCTAACTCTGTACCACGTGTGCTATTTTTACGTCTTTTAATTATGAAAAACAAATTACAGTTGGAATGAGCACCAAAGTAGGACAATGCATGTCTAGGAACACTTTACTCATTTTATGAGCTGACATCCACAAATCTTTTTAAGAAAAAAAAATATGTCCTTTTAATTCCCCCATATGATTGGATGGAATGAGAAAATGTACTCTCCTGTTCAAAATAAGTGTACCTTCTCAAAATGAAATACAATATCACGAAACGAAATAAATTAAAATTCTCTCTATTTGACACCTGCAAATCCTTTTAGATTTGAGATTTACACATTCCTTTATGAATTTTTTTTTCCTATTACGAAATTCTCAGCATTAGAATTACTTACATCTTAGGTAAACATGCTTCAAAAATTATGTAGAATGTAATAAAAAGGATTTTTTTTTAAAAATCACTTCAAGTGAAATGGATTTCTGACATTCAGAAAGCTCATGGAAAATTGATGAGACAAAATCCTCATGCTAAATGCAACCTTTTTTTTTAACTCTGAAGTTCAGAGTTAAAACACAGCACTACATGATTAAAGCTGAAGTGAAGATCAGCATTTTTTTTTACAGTGGTACACTATATAGGTATATTCTACCATTACATTTAACAGACTAGAGAACAGATGCATAATAAAGAAAATAATGTACACTTGAGAAATAAACACTCTAGTCACCTATATGTTTTCTTTCATCAACATACACAAGTTCCAAAAAAATAAAGCAGATTACATCATATAAAGCTATGACAAACCAGGAAATTTGCCTTTAGCATAAAATGTCAATTGGTCAAATAATTATCAGCTTATTTGAAAAGTACAAGGCAAAATCATAAATTATGAAACAAATGCTACCATAAAATAAAATACAGACAGAAAAATGTTTCACATTGTAACATAATATCTGAAATGAATCTTTTTCCTTTACGAAAATCGAAATATAAAAGAATCAGTCAGATGTTGTTACAAAGTTTTAAAGCCTGTTTTAGGACAATGGCTGCCTCCTCCCTCTGAGAGAGTGCTGTGTCTTCACTGTGCTGGTCTTTGGCTCTTAAAGTATTGACTAGTTCATCATTGTTATCCAGTGTATCTAACTTATCTACATCGGAGAGTTTGTTTTCGGTGTCTGAGAGACAACCAGGTATGTTGAATTGGTAAGCATCATCCCCACTATCATAAGAAAAGTCCAGAATGTCTGCCGAAGAATTAGAACCTACACTGCATGCACTCCATCTCTTTTTCTGGTCTGTCTGGCTCGTCTTCTTCAAAATTCCTCGTCGGGGCACCACATTTACAGTCGTGGTTCCAGATTCGACGGTCCCATTTTGAGCATTATCACCGTACACAAAATCAGCGGCTGCATTTCTCTTGATGGATGAGCTTGAATCTTGATCTCCATCTAAAGCACTCAGAACATTGTCAATATCACTGAGATTGTATGTCACATCGGAGTTTTCTTTTGTGTCAGAGCTAGGACTTTTAGATCCTGTCTCATTTAACACACAACCACTATCCCCACCACTGAATTTCCCCTTGCGTTTCAGAATACTGCGAGGTTTCTTATCTGTGTCTTTTTTTTCACTGTCCGGACTATCGAAAACTTGGTTGTTTGAATCTATGGTCTGAAGAGGTTGCTTGGCAACAGTCTCTTCATCCCCTGATGACACTTTGGGTTTCTTCAGAATGCCTTTTAAAGGCTGCACCAGTCTGGCCTGCTCAGACTCTCCCTCACTGTCTGAAGACAGACTTTGGGTAGCTCGTAGTTTGGCAGGTTTACATATCTCTGGGAGTGGGTATACCTCACCACTGGGGGTTTCCCTACATCCTAGGTTAACCCACCAGTGGTTCAAAATGTCTGACATTTTAGCACGTTTCTTTGGATTCACGGTCAGTAAATGACGGATTAAGCCTGCAGCCTCTGTATGATAAAAAATGTTAAAATAGTTATTCATGGTAATTAAATTCAATGATCTGAAAAACTAATTCATATGAAAAATTTTAATTGAGACTTTTCTTTGATTAAATTCTGACCTGAGGGCTGCGTGGGCTCGTAATAGTCACCACTGGAGATCTGTTTTCGGAGTACATGGAAATCAGAGCTGTCAAATGGCATAGCACCATAGACGAGTGTGTACAGCACCACCCCAAGGCTCCAACAGTCCACCTGAAAACCGAAGCATTAGTCAGTGAATCAATTATATACAGAGCTCTGAGATCATTTTTGAACATTTTTAAGATCTGATGAACTCCAAAGAAACAGTTTACTTCTAACACTTAAGGTTCATAAACCCTTTGCTCACTCGTGTAAAATGTTATTTAAACTCTTACGATTTTCCAAAAGAAATGTATTCTATAAGTAATTTACAAAATTATAGCATAGCTTGCAGGGTAAAACTGGACAAAAAAGACATTTCAACTTGAAAAATTTATAAAAGAATAATAGACATTTATGTCATTAAGAGTTATCTCTCTTATCAGAATATCAATGAACCTTAAAAATGCTATTACAGATTCAATCAAGATTATATTTCAAAGATAAGGTAAATATATTAACTGCTCAATGACAGTGGACTTTTTAAACATATGACTAAAATTAAAATTTATACCAGTAAACATGTTATTCTCTCCCTAATAATTTAGGTTTGTCAATTAAATGTGAGAAAAGGGATTTTGAGTCGCATAAAGAATTTAACTTGGACATTTTCACAGTTACAAATGGTCTAATCCGAAAATGTTTTTCACACAATTTTCATTTTGAATGTACTTGATAAACAGTGTCGTAAATATTTCAGATTTACAAATCAATGCCTCAATTATTCTCTGGACAAAACATCCCAGCAAGCCACTCTTTGTTTGGGGGGATATCTGGCCCCAGTCAGCTGGACATGGACACAGATTTGAGTCATACCATTGACGTATCCGCTATGTTTTTGTCAAGTTTGTTTTCAAAATCTTTTTGGGTCAAGCATTTATCAGTTTTTTGACAAGTTGACAAAACCCTCCCTTACAACATGTTAAGACCAGGATCAATGCAGGCAGTATTTTTTCTTAGCAATGTTTACCAAAGATCAACAAATCTTTTTCAAAACTTTGTTTTCAAGTCCAGAGTCAATATTATCTAGATATGCCACACTGTCATGATATTTGGTAAAGAAAGCTTTTAATTTTTTTTCTCAGCTTGCACTTTCCTGCACCCTCTTTTGAAATCTTGGCAACTATGGATTTCAATTTAGGGTTTTTGACTGCGTAAATGACAGAGTTTGTTTGGTATCATCAACGTAGCTTTGTGGCCAAGAACAATCTCACTTTTGATCTGTTATTTTGCATGGCTGTCTGAGTCACATTTACTTATCTGCATTTAAAAATATGTAATGCAGAGTTCTTCAACCGCGAGCACCCACTTAATTAATCTGAAACATTTTTTCCTGCTAAAACAATTTTTTTGAGTCTGTGAAACAAATGATTCAGTAGCTCTGTTTTTTTTTTTGTTGAGATGACATCATGTGCAAAATAATCCAGAAAACTGTTTGGGTAGACAGGACGACCACAGCTGTGGTATCTAGCCGTGCTGTCATATATCATGTCACTTAAGTATGCATCTGTGGCCAATATGTTTTTATTCATAGAGTGATGAACTGCAAATAAATTAGGATCAAGTAGACTGTATCACAAGCAAACTAGACCATTTTTTAAAGTATATTAGACAGTCATCGGAGCAATGAAGAGAACTGTTTTTGTTAACTTTTATTTTTTGTGTTTAGAATGTAAGTTAAACTGCTTTCTCTTCACAATGAGCCCTGCTTTTTTTGTTAACTTTTCCAAAAAGTAAAAAAAAAAAATTATGCAAATTTTTGATTTGAGGTTAAGATGAATCATTTCTGCTCCAGATAAACAAGTTACGTAAGTTTCACTCGGTCACACTTCTGACCATTATGTCAACTGTTCAGTGGGTCTTGCCCGGACTTTAAAAAAACCTAAATCCCTGGTGACCCTCTGCAGGCTGTTTATTTGTAAAGGTTTTGCACCTCGGGTCTTTTGTTCATTCAGTATTTTAAAACAGAACAAGGTTCAATGGATCACATCGATTTTCCAAGGTTCTTAAGAGATTACAAAACTAATCACAATATTTCCCAACTTAATGGTGCCTTCCAGCAGTCTAGATACGTCACTGTAAATATTTATTATAGTGCACATATCAAATACTTAGTAATGCGTTTAGGGTATTTGAGCATTTAATTAACCTAGCAGTCAAAGCAAGATGGCTCCCAGGTATAAAAGTCTAGATAGATAGAAATAATAAGGCAATGCATTAATCTGCATTCAACTTCGTTAATAATTTCATTTTTGTATTCTGTTTAATTCTTAAACATGCTAGTTCTTGCAAACTACTTTCCTTTTTAAACCAGTTGACAATGAATGTCTTTAATGTGAACCTAACTTGGTAAAAGTTGGATCTGCATGGTGATTTATGTACAAAAGTGTTGTTTTTTCACATTTGTACAACAATAATGTCTATTTCTCCTTGTCGAGATGTGTGATAAATCAGTCTTTTTACAACAAAATCCCTTCTCTTAATGTTTCAATGAATTTGTTCAAAATCATGCAAGAATTAACAGTGCAGACATGGCAATAAAATCAACTTCTTCACATTCTGCCTTACAAAATCAATATATCATATTATATAGAAAACTGTAAATTAACATGAAAGGCTTATTTAAACACAACTTTTCATAATAAAACATGATCTAGGTGCTATTTATTTAGTAGGGGCCATAACTCCCAACATGACAGACAAGTAAAAAAGAAGAGTAATAGTGATATTAATGAGACTTCATTTAATTAGCAGCCAAGCTGTCAGCGGTGTGATTTGTCAGACGAGGGGCGGGGCTAAACTTGCTTCTTCTGTCTCATTCTCCTGACAGATAACAGATAGAAGGTCACAAAAGGTCACAGACTGATATGTGAGGAATTCAGGAAATGATAAAACTCTATCTCACAAGGTCATACACTCTGACCTCAAGGTCATCAGTTTCTTTACAGTCAAAACATGAATACCTGTCTACATTAAAACTATACAATGTGCAAAACAATCCTTTAAATCAAACACATTTGAGTCTTGTTGGGGACTTGAAAACAAATGTAAGTAAAAAACAAATGTTCGAAAATAATTTGTGAATGCTGTATGCAAAAACAGGTGTCCGTGTAACCTAATGTAACTATTAAGGTCTTGGGTACCAAGATGATGGACTTCTTTTTATGGGATTTTGAGTGTTAGTAAATATAACTATATTGTTTTCTTTATTTACCTCTGGACCATAGTATGGCTGGCCATTGACAATTTCCGGTGAGGCATAAAGCGGGCTGCCACAGTAGGTAGATAGTAGACTAGTCATACTGTAGAAATTAGACAACCCAAAGTCTGCAATCTGTAAAAGAAAGAGAAAACTAAGTCAAAAATGGTTAATAAAAATGGTAGTGTGCTTTACACACATGTAGATTATATACATTCACATTTAAGGACTAGCAAATTTTCCTACTTTTTCCTCAATGTTTTTTGACATTTTATTTAAGTATCTTAAATATTGCATTAAATTGAATTTTGTGAAATAATGACCAGTGACCCAGGAGATTCTACACCTTTTTTTTTCTTTTGATAAAATATGAAAATTGATAATTTGCTATCATAGCTTTAAAATTTTTCAAGGTTAAATCATGAAATAGAATCACGCCTGTTTTCAATGTCAGTCGATCTAAATTTTGATCTTTGAATTTTGAAGAGTTGTACTCTAACTATTTCAAAGTTAATCAATTGACAAATTCTGATTCTAAGCAGAGCAGTTTAAACTTCCCTAAACCATTTTGATCTCCACATAATTACCGACTCAAGATTGTAGAGATAACATGGCTACCAAATATGTCAAAGGAAATGAAAGCATCAAGAGCTTGTTAAATTAAATCTTATCAAAGGAGAAAATCCTTCCATTACATCATTCAATCAATGTGTGCAAAAGCAAGTGACATAAGAATAATCAAATTTATTTGAAATTACACCTTTTAATTGTGTCAAGGATTTTCTGGAGAGATTTAGTATTTGACATACCAATAGAGTCTACAGTTAACATCAGAGTCTTGACCTACTTAAGATTTAGCAGATCAGCTAAGCACCACATGAAATCAAAATTCATTGATCTTGCAAATTGTAGATAACTTCAGCATAAGGAAATTTGAATTCCCTATCTAATTGCAAAAATACAATTCTAGTGTTTGTATGCCCTGTCAGTGGTACAAGATGTTCTGTGTGACCTTGAACTGACCTTGACATTGCCGTCCTGATCCAACACAATATTCTCCAACTTCAGATCTCTATGAACGACTCCATTCTAAAAAGAAAAGAAAATACAATTTCTGTGCAACAACTCCCTGAAGTTTCATTACGACAAGATTTTTATTATGGATACTTTGTAAATTACACAGAATTCTCTTAAATTAAGAAGATAGCTTACGTAAAAAGTTTTGATAAATAAATCATATTCTTTGTTACCTGATGACAGTAGTTCAAGGCGGCCACGATTTGTCTGAAGATCCTTCGTGCATCCTTCTCCGAGAGCTTGCCGCGTTTGTTGATGTAATCATACAGTTCCCCCTCCGTGGCACAGTCCAAGACCAGGATGATACGGTCCCTGTTCTCAAACACTACAAAGAGAAGATTACTCATTATCAATATGTAACGGGAATTTGTTTTCTTTAATATACCTTTATTCAAAAGAACAATTATTTTAATTATTTGAAATGCATGTTAATTAAATAAAGTTTTCAAGTTTCCACATTTTAAACAGTATCAGTAGTATACTGTAAAAGCAGAAATATTGGTGGGGGATTAAATTTTGGTTTTTTTTTCGTTGTTAACAATTATCAACGAAAGTAAATCCCACACAAAATTTTTATATGACTATATATTGATTAGGGTTACTTTCGAAACAACGAAATTAAATGCCAACGAAACCTTTCTAGATGAAAAATCAACGAAATTTTATACCCAAAAAATTTGTGCTTCTACAGTATTTTCAAACTATCGTAAATTTATTTTGTATAAATTTATCATAAATAATTCAACAACAATTTATTATGTTTATTATACATTAAGGTATTTTAATATGTGGTTCTGAAAGTGAAAAGGTTTACTACTAAATTATATTAAAGCAACACAAATTTATTTTCACGGAAATACTTTGTAGAAATGTCTCTGATGGGCGTAATTTGTTATAATGCGTCTGGGTAAAGTGATGATAATATCATTATGGCGGTGTTACTAGCAACTTCCTGTTCATTTGCATTCTTAATGTGCATTCATACCACCTTCCCTGCACGATTTCTTACATAAAAAAAACTGTCAATTGATTCATATCCGCAATCCCGTATCACTAAGTGAATTTTATTTCAAACCATTTCTATAGGAAAATGATTTTGTTGTTCATCTATACTTTAACTGCAATAGGTTCAAAAGAGAATACGGCTACAAATCCAAAGTTTCATTTTTGTTGGGAAATTATGAGACAGAAATATTGATATGTTAATGATTGTAAGCTAATGATCAATTTCCACGTAAAACCTGCCATTACCTGGCTGACATCAACAGACACTGCTCCAAATTAGAGGTGTCTATTATGTTAATGTTGTGGTTTTTACACTACATTCAGGGCATGTATCGACTAGGGCCTTCTCACAAAAGGTGATACAAAGAACATTATCAAATTAAATGTATATACTTTACATATGTCCTGTAAATCATATGTTTGTAGAAAACTTTCTATAAGAAGCACCATGTATTTGAAAAGGAAAAGACTTCCTTATTTATTTTATGCCACAACTATAATAACTCTTATTTAAAGTTAATTCAAATTTAAATCTACTTATTTTTCTGAAATTTTGATGTTCAGTACATGAACCAGTTAAATATAAAATTTATAGTAGTGCAAAAATATAAATTATTCTTTAAAACTTAATTATAAAACAAAGCTGAAAGTTCAAACTTTACTAGAAAAACTACTGTTTCTTCACATTTTCCTGCATGAAGTTCAAAAACAGAAAGGGAACAATTTTAAATGTGCTTTCATTTTAATTTGATGACACGAAACCAATGGCTTTCAAAAACAAGGAAACAATTCCCTAAGCCATTTTGATTCCTTCAACCACTCTCTCCCCAGACAAAGTAAACAGTGATGGTCTCCTGACAAAGCCTGTCGTCTCAACTAAAATCCCAACAAAACTCTGAGCTTAGATCAAACAATGTGCTCCGTCTTTGTTCCAATGTACAGACTCCCCAAAATATCCAAAATCAAATACTCAACAAGAAAAATTAACAAGTATCAGACATGGATCAAACAGTTCTCTGTCATCAATTAGAATATGTCTGTCAGGTAGGTGTTGCTAATTAAAAGATAAATATAACTGGCTCAGACAACAAGGTACAAATCTGAGAAGTAAACATTTTTATTATTAAAAAGTACCCAACTTTACAAATATTTGAATTTCTTTCAAACATGCCCATGACTACTGTGACTTCTGTAGTCTTTAAAATGACAGTTTAAAGTCTTTTCTACAAATATAGTATATATAATCCCAGTACAAAAAGAAAATTTGCCCACTTGGCCATTCTACAGCATCCCCACCCCTTTTTCTCAACATCATCTGTTCCTCTCAGCAAGTTCATTATTTGTTTCCTTGGAGAAACATAAATAATTTTGACAATCAATCGACACATTATGCCATGCTGTCGTAAATAACCTAATTGGAATGTTAGGAATGCTTTCAATTAATTCAGCAGCCTTGATTGTGCAGCATTTAAAAGTACACACCTGCTAGAAATAGCTCCCAATCAATAGCCCCGGTCTGGCGATTCTTTGTGATCAGCAACCAGCTCTTATGACATCTCGGACTATAGTGCAAACAGTTAGGATACCCTGTGAAACACACAGGAAATCTCCAGGATCTAACATCAAATGATCGATTTCATTATGTCTCGCAGAAACTTGATAAGGACTTTGACAGATTACACTTTAAACTTCCAATTATTTCTTCCGATTTAATGTGGAGATATCATAGACCCTTATTTGTCCGTCATTTGATGCAGGCCAGATTTCAGACTTGATATCCGACTCAAAATCATTTTTCACATGAATGCCATTTTCTTCATTCCATGTAATCTGTAAACATTATTTAAAAGATAAGGATCAGGGACTTCTTTTCAGAAAAAACAATGATGCTATGTACTTTTCATGGACAAATACTGCACTTTAGATGCAATTAAAATGGCTGTTAATTGAAATCAAAGCTGCCAACTGTAGGTTCATCGCTGTAGGTAAATGATAAACCCCTGTACGTTCATATTATGGTATGTCACTGACATGTTGAGTTGATCTTCTGTGCCTGGTGACAGCGGGATATTGTAGCCTCCTAACACCCCGATGAACGTCTACTGATATTATGGACCGGGTACCAGCTTATTATAAACAGGGTTAATGATCACCCTTGACGATTTATATAGAAGAAGATGAAATGTTAGAAAGGCATTCTTAAAATTCTTGTCAACTCTTTGATGTGTATATGAGGACTTAAAGATTAAAAAGAACTTTTTTTTATAATTGCTCTTGCGCTCTTCCCTTTAGGTGTGAAAAAATGGACAAACTCTGCAAATGAACATCATTAAAAAAATGTGTCTTTTTATAATGCAGTAGGGGCTTAAGCTTGGCTGAGGGTTTTAATAACTATTAGGTGTCTTTTTCTAAGTGAACTTAAGCAACTTTCTGAAAGGAATTCAAATCTTTTTTAACTGCCATGTTCACCACCTCAGTTGGAGTAATTTTCCCATAAGGTCACCCTTCTATTGACACACTATAACTTGGTCTTTATACATTTTCCCCATACCTAACTATTCTTTCTCTCTTTTTGTGTACATGCGAGTTGTTAACAGAAAATTCAGACACAATAAAAAGGCTATAACTTTGTCACTCCATAGATCCAGGCATCCAAAAATATTCCTTTTATGATATATGTTAGACCAAGATATTATTTTCTACTGCCATGTTTCCATTTGACCTAATGATGTTCACAACAAGCCATGGACACCTACTCTCTCCAGACTGCAGTGCTAAATTTGTCTTTCCCACACACAATCTGCATATACTTATAATCATAGTTATAAAAATCGATGATATGTATCATATTGACAACACTAGCATATTTTGAAAGTAATCTCAAATTGAGTATTTTTTTTAATTCATGCAGTTAATTACTTATTGAGGTAGACTTTTTAAACCATTCCTGACTCCTTTCCAAATCCAAAAATACGAGGTTTTCAATGTTCCAGTCTGGGAGCCACACAACCATGATCTCAGGGACGATGGTCCTATCTCCTGCCCCAGGGACTGTTGTCACATGACCCTTCTATCAACTATTATTACAAACAAGTTGTACCTGTATCTTTGTTTGTGTCTCGAGAGGTACATACCTGGCCTTTGTTGGGGGCGTTTATATAGGTAACCCTTGGAATGTGCTGATACACTGTGGTATTTTCACGAGCCAAATCACATTTCTTAGGTCAATATTGGATTTATGTGTTTAAATGAAACCATTTACTGAATTTAAATGCAAACTTTTGTATGCTATTCCAAAAATATGTTGTAGCTTTCTTCAACATTCCTCTTTACACTGTTGTGCAAAAGTGTATTTAATTACATGCAGAATAGCTCTTCCTTGAATTATTTATTCTGCATCTACAGCGATATTTCTTATTATGCAGCAGTTTATATGAATAAATAAAAAAAGTTTATTCCTCAACTGATTTTTTTCAACTGTGTCTAATAATTGCAAAAAGCAAACAACTTGCTCTCAAATTTAATGTCTTTTTCTCATATTTAACTGCCTTTAGAAATGCATTTCTTGCATAAATCACTCTTTGAATTCCAAAGCTTTAGGAATTTCAAAGCATGCAAAGTTTAAATGGTGAAAATTAACACATGTTGAATTGTAAAACCATTTCTTAAGGTGTTCATGCAATGAAAAACAGTTTTAAAATTCACTACAGGCTGGTTATCATTCACTGCATCTGCTTAGTTCCAGTGTGACTTCATGAAATTTATCAAATTAAAATATGTTTTTCCTAGAGAGCAATGCATTTCAAGGACATGCAGGCACTGATAGTAGGTATCAAGTGCCACCCATTATAAATTATTCTTTTTTTTCTCCTTCTTTCACTATTCTCTCTTATAATAACTGACAATGCCTCTATGTTTGTTTACATGTGGGGGAGGTGGGTGTCACTACATGAACTTTTGTTGAAAGTTTCATGAGTCCACTTATGTCAGCAGGATAACCTTTTGGCCTATAAGTCTTTTTTCTCTATCCAACTTTGGTCAAAAAGACACCTGCCACAAAGGTAAAAATGTTAGTTATGTGTCCATTTTTTTTAGAGTGACCGCAGCATGCTGTCTGTCCAGATGATTCAGGTGTTTCTTATTCAGTAATGACAGACTAACATGTGTCCAGTCCTTCAGTCTACAACTGCCAAAAAACCAACACATTCCTAGCCTAGCTCAGATTACAAGATTTTTCTTTCCCAATTTTAAATCATTCTTTGTTGTTTTTCTTTCCAGAAATATATGATTTCATTTTTCTATTCTTTTTTAATTTTTGAAAGACTAGTACCTTTTATCTCGACCTATTGATTTAGTCTATTTTTCAAGGTATGCAAAGTTATAGAAATCTTTATTTATCATTAAAAAGACCTTGGTCCATTATAGATGTAATGTTAAAAATAATTCACGGTCGATAAGCACTTCTGAATAGATTTGAAATCTGTTTTTTTTAATCCTGAAGTTTGAGATTAGATACAATTTAATATACAAGTGTTATTTTGGTACAAACCAACACCATACATTTCAAAAGTTTTAAAGAATAACACTGCCTTTGGCAATATGAAAAAAAAACCTGATTTAGGACAAAGAAAATCCCAAGGTTATGGTCACAAAACAGCTGTGGAGTCCTGGATTTAAAAAGAGGAGATTATCGACTATGAAAGTGGGCCACAGTCAAGGCTTTTTACGTGTTAATAACTATTGGCCATTAACAAGAGTGGACAGAAGCAACTTTTAAAAAGCAATTACTGGTATACTAAAATAGACAAGTGCTTGACCAATTGTCTCTTTGCAATAAAGAAAAAAATGAACTTTTTTTTTACTTACTTTACTTATTAACAGAATGATGGTGTATTTTAATAAAATAATGTACCAAAGAACACTATTTTTTCTCTCCAATATTTTTTCTCTTTTCGATATATTTTTCATTCCAATATAACGGTATTTTTTTTGGGGGGGGGAGGGGGGGGGGGGGTTCGGGTTCGATAAAAACACATTAAGTCACCTATAAAAGTATGAGTCAGAATTAGATTCTCTGTTCAGAGAGAGGACAGTTATACTGACAAATCCATTAAAAAAAACCCAAAGAGATAATGATTTTTAACATGTCTTAATTGTTTAATGCTGCCTTAATGGTAGACAATAACAGTCTTCTTTTTATCCAATCCAAAATCTTTCATTTAAAAAAAAAAAATTAGTTCAACATCTATGGATGGATATTAATGAACTATATGACCCTTGCACCACCATTTTTCTGGCAGGATTTCCCTTTTTTTGGTTCTGACTGTTATGTGCACTTTTACCTTTCTGAAAAAATTTAAATTGGATAGTTTTATCATCAATCAATTTTTATTTTCCTGTTGAACTCAAATGCACCATGACAAAAACCAGGTCAAATTGAAATGTTCCTTTCTAATGACATTTGTACCTCGTAGTGATGAATCACATCTTCAGATTTATGAATGAAATACTCATTTTTCGGAACAATCTGAAGACTCAGCCATTTGCCATTAACATAATTTTTCAACATCAATTCATAACCTATATAAAATATGATTCACTTAGAGACTGTGTACTTTATGCCTTTCTAACATATTGAAGCCAACCAATTACACAAAACTGCAACCAGCAAAAAAAAAAAAAAAAAGTGGCATAATCATTACAAGATTTGAACCACAAATTTTCTATATTAATTTTCTATCATTTCATTCAAAATTTTTTTTTTATAAAACTTTATACAGATTGGAAAATTCCGAAAATGACAATTGAATCTATATCAAATATCTGAAAAGTCAAAAATAAACTACCATCATAACACTGTGACAATGTTCCCGTGGTACTGATGCTAGTTTGAGATATTATAAACATAACACTTTATAAGTATTTCCTTAAAAATGGGATGGCCCACATCCTTTCATATAATTGATCTAAAACTTGGAGCTCTTGAAATCCTCATTCAGAATTTAATGTATTATATCCTTCTTCCTGCAGATGTACGTGATGTGGGAGACATTAGACTTTTTACATTATTGGAATAATTTAGAAATTGATGTGTGGTCAATAATTAATTTCATAATTTGAAGTCTAACCTCTATAAATACTCCTTATGTGTGGTCCTAAAACTTCCTTATTTTTCAAATATTTCATATAAAAAGAAAACTAGTTCATGATCATGTTAAAGTGGTTAAAATGTAATTAAAAAAGGATTGATTGATAAAGCATCATTTGAGTTCACCCCCACTCAATCAGGGCTTAATTAATGATCCTGGCCTGGGGTTTTCACAATGATTAACCCTTAGAGAGAGAGATAGACTGACGGACATGTCGCCTGACTGACGGACATGTCGCCTGACTGACGGGAACAACCCAGTAACCACAGCAAGACTGTTCCACTGCCAGAGGCTAAATCCTTCCGATAACGTATAAACGGGCTAATTTTGGAAAAGCCCGGAATAAAACGACAGCAACACTCACAGTTCCACCGCCAGAGGCTTAAACCTTCCGATAACGTCACGTCTAATTTTGAACAGCTCAGAATATATAACCACAGCAAGACAGTGCTCCACCGCCAAAGGCTAAAACCTTTTCGATAGCGTCAAGGCTAAATTTATGTACTATGCAATGTGGAACTTCCTTGGTCTATGTGCATGACTTCACTGCTTAATAAGATGCAAGAATGCGGACAGTTATATAGTCACACATTACATGAGATCATAGTACAACTACTAGTTTTCACACTTTTTTAACTGATTTGGAAATATTTCTTTCTGCTTTCATTGCAAAAAAAATAAATACATGTACAGTGTAAATAAGAAGGGCAATTCTTTTAACATTTTCAAATGTTCTACCAAATTTTTCATTTTATCCCCCTTTGTTAGCTGCTTGATGACAGTTTGAATTCACCAGTGAAAGCTATACATCACCTTTATCAATGATATCAAAAATAAGTCCATGAAATCCGAAACTTCTCATTTAAACCCATATGAGCCAAATCAACTCCTCCTTCTAGACATAAAGAGGCTTTATTACATATTGTCATACAATATATCTGATAAGCACTGTAAAGACTTTGATGCATGGCAATTTAAACCGTCAGCCATTGTGAACGAACATGGAAATTCAATGCCCGCTCACCTAATGTATTTTATTATGGAAGGAATCGTTTTTCAATCGATTGAAAAATTGCATGCATTAAAGTTCTTTGATAAACTATGTCTGTAGGTAATAAAAATGCTGTCCCCTATCATTCTGTGCATTCCAGGCCAACCTCATTTGATTAATTACATGTTTTTTGCAATTTTTGCTGAGTTTTCCATACAGATTTTAATTTTTGGTTTGGAATAAAACTGCACAATACTGTACACTGTACAAGATGACCAGCTTTAATGATAGACTAAAAATACTGTTAAGTGCTTGAACCACGAAACTCTTTTATTTAGTAGTTTATCATTAATATATATCTTTGATGTGCCATAAAATTGCTTAGTTCATAAGAAATTGTGGTGTCAGCCAATGATGCAAGATATACTGCATACAGGATTACATTGTAGCAATTTTTATCATTGTTTGAGGTCATGACCTTACCTTCACGGACATTGATGATGTTGGGATGATTCAATTTTGACATGATCTTTATTTCTCGTCGGATTCTGTTGATTTCAGTTTCATCGTTGATCTTGTGCTTTTTTATGTACTTAATTGCAACCTACAGAGAAAGCAAAACCAACAGTCATTATTTCATTATGAAATTTAAATCTTATAAATATTATGTTTGACATATTCAATAAAAAATTATCATTCCTAACTCAAGCAACATATCACTCGCACTAAAATTGGGTTCAAGTGAGAATTCAAGACAAACATTGTGCTTGCTTTAAACTTAAGAAAGTGTACCACCAGGTGTTTAGATGGACATTGGAGAAAAGAATGTGTGCAATTTTTACTTTATCACCCTACACCCTAGACCTAGGGGGCAAATGTAACACATCAGTAATCCCTTATTATCACAAAGTCAACAGGATCCTCTGACCAACACTTACACTATAGCAAAGAAATTTTTCCTTTTAATTTACAAATAAACAATTTCTTCACACCTGGGTCTGAAAGCTATGATTCCAAAACTTGACACGTCTTTTCTGCTTTGCCACATGCATGTTTCTGGTGATGTCCCCCACTGATTTTTGGCAAACTATGACTGACCCATAAGTGTAGGTTTAATTGAATCTCATTTGTTCCTATTCTGTATATTGGATACCCTTTATATCTGCCACAAGTCAGATGGCTGAGATTTCACTCTGAAGGCCAAAATTCCACCTTTCAACAACTCTCAAACAAAACATTACCAGTCCTTTGACTTATCCGAAGGTCTGTCCACCTCCCAAGCAAACATTACCAGTCCTTTGACTTCAACTAAAGTTTGTCCACTCTTTGACCCTTGATTAATCTGTATGTTCAACAAATTTTGGCAACGCAGATGTTTCCCTGCTGTCTGTAACAATTGGCAGAGAAAACATGGACCTTAAAACCCCCTGCTACACAAGTCAAGAAGTCTGCTACATTCAGAATGACTAAATGGAGATAAGGGTCTAGTGTGATTTATATAGACACACATTATATCTGCCTTGTGGACAGAGACCTTTTATGGCTCTATCTTCTCTCTCTGACCTTGATCTCTCCCTGACCTTGAATGGATGCAAGATTTGATAACATTAATTTGCAACTATTAGACATCAAGCTGGTAGCTTAGTACATACAATCAATGAAGACTTCCAAACTAATGCATATATAGCTTATATCTGCTTTATACAGCATGTACAGAATTACATGCAGAATTTGATGATGTTTAGTTGTAACAAACTTAGCCTTAGCATAAAGATCTAACTTTTAATATGACGGGGAGACTTACAATTCACACTTGACATTAAAAGTAATTGTCAATTTGTCAACTTGGTGTGAAAATTTTGAATGACTGAAACTTTAAAATATTTAATCACAAATTACTTACTGTCATTAACATTAACAAAGGACAGATATATGTTTCATTAATGTAATGTCTTGACTGGTGTAAGTATATTTAATTATATGCCTCAAATAAGTTCTGTAACTACCACGTTTTGCCAAGTTTTTTGTTTAAATTACACGGCATGTGACTCATTAAATTAAGAAATATAATATGACTTCCACATTATATAAGGGATTTTGTTTTACCAAAAATCATAAATACAAAAGAATTATAGTTTAATGCACTAAAAAGTAAATTTTTCTGGCCTATACACTAATTCTCCTGTAATTTTAGTTCATAGTCAGTGTTGACTTTAAGGACATACGCAATGTACCTTACCTACTGATATTTTTTCAAGATATTCTTAATTTAAGATTATTGTGTCATCAGATGTTTGTAGACAAAAAATTAGCATGCTTTTCCAGGGGTTTTGAAAAGATATCAATTGATGAAAATTTTTGTATAATTCAAAGAAAAATATACAAAAATTACTAAACATATATTCTAGATGTTTTGTTTATCCAAACTGGTTTTAGAAGAAATGTAGAACAGCATATATTGACAATAAAATGTAGCACACAGTTCCTTTAAGTATTGGAACTCTTCAACTCCAGGGAAAAAGACAATAAAGTTCAAACTACGTTGCGTATGTCCTTAACTCACAACTGTGTACACCACCCATCACTATATATGCATTGAAAAGATCAAATACCCTGGTACGCCTACCCGAAAAAAAAAAAATCAAAAATAGATTATTAAACAACCAATGACATTCCATTCCAGTGGCCTTAAGCTTTGTAAATCAAAGTATATGATCAAAATTCCAAAACTTTACCACAAGAATCTGACGCTATGTCAACTTCAAAAGGATTTTTTTTTCAAGCCATTTTTTAAAGTAAACATTTTGTGTCCAGGTTCTAACAATGTTATCTGATTGTACAATGTACATGATTCATTATCAACATATCTTTATCTGAGACTTAAATATTAATCTCGGAATGTTCTGTTTTATATTAATGTGGTTATCATCACCAATGATTAGTCAAATGATCTAGCAGACATTCATAGATTACTAAAGAAAGTGGACTTGCTCAAAACAGAACTGTCGATTTATTATGCAAAACTGCTTAAATTTTTTTTTTTTTGTGAAATCAAAATTTGATTTGAAATCCTCTCACATATATTTTTCCTTTGATTCGGAAGAACAGGTACCCTTGTGTTTTGGCCTTGAAAGAATTTTATCTTGCAGATCTAAAAACACAAGCCCAGACATCATTGTATCAACTTTGGAATACCCAATGCTTTGAGTCAATACACTGTATTACCGCAATAGAACTTTAATTTTCCAAACAAAGTTTAAACTGCCAAAACACAAGGGTTATGAAATTTGTACATTTTACCTGTGTAAGTTTGAACAAAGAGAGGTTTTATATGTTTACTCAGTGTATTTGTTTGTTTTAGCTCTACGAATATTTTGTTCCTATGTGATTAAGGAAAAAAGAAAAAGATTGGAAACCAAGATATGCTTTGTTACTGACAATGACTAATTATCCCAACACTTCAAGATGTTTTAATTGTTCACAGGTTTTTAATTCAATTTAATGTGCATTACTAATGCCCCAGACATTTTACACCTGAAGTTAAAAGAATTCATTATGTGTCATAGTAAGAGATAATGATGAACTTCAACCACAAAAATTAAAGTCAAGATCACAATCTCCAAAAATCAACACCTTCCAAAAAATTATAAAAGGCCAAGGTTTCCTCCCACCTAAGTCTTCTTTTAATCCCTCCCCTAGGGACAGGAAGACATTATTAAAGACCCTGTTAGAATTCTGTTACCATAGAACATATTTCCTGTGTTTTTTCAACTTCTAAAGGTAATCAGAAACTCGTAAATCACACCTCAAATCAGATAAGAGGAACTCTACATGGTGAAATGGTTTGTGTTTTGGACTCTGAAATATTTAAATTTTTAAGAGAAAAAAAGTTCTAGAAAGTGATTTAATGAATTTAATTTCCTTTTTCATGCTGCAGACCATAAAGATTTAAGATGTTATTTAAACCTTCAACAAACTTGTGTTGCCAAGTGAGTCACCATGATTGCATTAGATCCTAATTTTTTTTTTACAACACATTTCACTGCAATGAATAAGGTATTCTTGGATAAAAATACTGAAGAAAATGTTGTCTCAAAGAGAATTTTATTTTTTTTTTTTTTTGTTCTTTCTTGTTTGTGTGTGTTTTTTAATATATAATACAAAATAAATGTTTGGAAATTTGGAAACTAAAATGCTGGATGGCAGTTTCTCTCTCTCTCTCTCTCTCTCTCTCGAACTGTCAACCATTCTCTGATTTCTATGTGTCTTCAGTATGGAATTCAATAAATTTTCTCTCACTTCCTTCCAAAAAGAATTATGAGCAGTCGCATCACAGCACCATTCAACAGAATAAATGTCTAGGTACCCCCTCCCCCTTTCCAAAATCAACATCTGGTCAAGAGAGTTACTCAAAGATTTTTCATTGTCCTAAATGCCAGTGTACATGGACACCGAGAATATACAGAGGTAGAATGCACAATTATTTGTTTACACACTATTTTTACTACTTCACAGATGCTTTGTACACTTGAGACCACAAAAAGATCAAGCATTGGGTGCCAAATTGGGCCTGCACATAATAAAAGGTCTGTATTTTGTAAATGAAATTTTCACACTGAATAAGCTCCAGTATAGAATGTTTGATCTTATTCAGCAGAGGCAACTTAAAGCAGAGTTCATTCTAATAAACAATCAAGTTTACTAAAACTTTTACAGGACCTTAAAGAGTGCACCTGAATTTTCATATGGTCTGTGTACCATATCACAATTCTTTGCTAAAATCTATTTTGAACATTTTATTGTGCTGCTAAAGAATGTGCTATGCAGCAGATCGAGATATCGATCATGTACACTTAATTCTTTTCTTAAATAAATGTTTGGTTCTTGAAATAAATGTGGTTATACACAGGATAAAAGTAACCACGATATTTACCACCACAAAGAAAAAAGTATTTTCTGCCAAATCATTCTGCTTGCAGGGCATATTGAATGAGAGAAAATATTAAGCTGATTTCCACCCAGTCAAAGTATTACTTATACTACAGAAATGTCCCTCTACGCTAGATCAGCACTGGACAATAGTGGACACTAGATGACCTTGGAAAGCACCTACTTGCTTTTTTTTTTTATAGTATCTTACATGAATCTTATCTCCTACTGTTACGAAAGCTTTAAATCAAGTGTAAAAAGACAAGATAAAAAAAACTTAAATATGTAAAGGTCACTAAGATTGGAACTTACATAAATACACAAATCCCCTTCATAAGAGGAAATAAAAATTAAACATTTAAAATCTCCTGAGGCTCAGTCGGACAATGTTCTTTGAGTTGGATGGTTTTATTTATCTGTATTAAGATGGTCACAAGGTGCAATGCCTGTCTGTCGGTCAGATATCATGGATTACAAGTTCCCCAGCGTAGACAAGGTTGCCGAGGACAAAAAACAATGAAATTCACAATGATGCAAAGACAAGGACCTTATCAAAATGAAATGTAAATGTATTCATTATAATAATTACTGCGTAAGAAATATTATTATTTGTAAATGCTAGGGAAATTTTGAACTCGGGACCTTGTAAATTTACAAGCTTACATCAGATTCTATGACTTAATGGTCTCTTTCATTGAATAGCCAAACTTTTTGGTATTATGTCAATTTCCATGGTAAATGTAATGCATTTCTATTCCACTGACCCTGAGACTTTTATATTTTTCACCGATCTTAGATTTCTAAAAAACAAAAACAGAGGAGCTCATAATCATTCAGATCTAGTTCTCGCGTGTCATGTGACACCTGGAATTATTGTACGAACACTCTGCACTGTCGCCAAAATAAACAGCATTTTAGGAGCATACAAAAGAACATTTTGCAACTGTATACTTCCTCTAATAACATTTATTGAAAATTTATTTTAACTTTAGTTGTATGTTATCTTTTAAAAGTAATATTACCTGTTACTATTTAGAACAGAGGTGTACCACACACTGATTAGTTGGACTGATCAAATTAACCTTGTATTTTGATTTACTGTGTATAAATCAATATCACTTAATGGATCAAAACAATAGTCTTTAATACTGAAATATTTGTGACTCCTTGGCAATGACTTGAACTATGTAATCATACAATCAGTTCAACTAAATTATGATTATAGATATATATTCTCGATATTTACTCAATATATGGTCCTGAACAAAGAAGACATTTATCCAGGTACAGCTTGCATACTGTACTAAAATGTATAAATAAAAACCTGCAATTAGCTCTATCATGAGCAACAAGAAAGGAATTTACAATCAATAGCTGTTTATTGTCCTTCACAAATGATAAATAATATCGCGGGAAATCGATAAACCTTCTAATGGATAGTTATCACAAAACACAATCAATCCACTTAATATCACAAGTGTTGTAATAAAATTCGGAACGATGACCCTTTAAGTATTCCTGTGTTCTCCTTTAGATAAGCAATTTATACACTTTTGTAAGCATTCACGGGTCCTGTGTTCTTTTGTTTTAATATCAAACCAGTTTCAATTCCTGTTGTTATCATGAAATATTTTTATTGAAAAATGAGATATAGTTCTATTTCTAAAATTTTAGACACTAAGCAGAGTATGAATTTACATGTTTTATTGAATTTTTTTTTTTAATGTGCATCAGTGCATCTAATATTCAGTGTTTACTTAGCACATCTGTCTCAAACAGGTACACAAACTTTTCCATATTTATTCCATTATTAGGACTTTTCTAAATTTCAAATCTGAGTACACTAGCAGATTATATTAATTATAGAAAAAATAATTAATTGATAATAAAAACATTTGTTGTAAAGGTGTTCTTTTTTCTGTTGGAATTGACAGGTATAATAATTTACGTCAATAAAGAGTTGGGACGTGAGCTTGTCAAACTACAGTTTTCATTGTCAGAAGGCAGGTGATTGTTTCCTAGTCACTGCAGAACCAAAAACCTACGAATTTACGAGCTACATACAACTGTCCATCTCATTCTGATGTACGAGGAAAAAACAACTCTGGGGGCAGGTGATTGAAGCTGAATTTGAATAAAAAAAATTCCAAGTTCAAAGATTTATTGTTTTATTATAAGTCTACATGTGACAAATTAGTGGTTTTCTGTAGTAATTTTTGTCTTATATAGATTATAATATATCAAATGCTATGAATTTCTGGCATTTGAGAAAAATTTATAACAGGTAAAATCAATTATTTTTAATCATATCTTGTAATATATGTATGTAAATGTTATGATTGTAATAGTGTGTTAACCTTGATTTAATGCTTAATTTATCTATAATAAAGAATTTTTTTTAAGTTCCCATTCCAATCTGTAGTTGCTTTCATATCATTAATTAAGATCAAAAATCAGATGGTTGATTGCTTTAAATCATTTGCTGAAATAAATCAATATAGGTCATACTTAGTGCAAAGGTATACTTTTGAAACTGACATATAGATAACATGGAATTTTTTTAGCAAATTCTTCCAAAGTGTTAAAATAATCTATACTTCAGAAAAATGGGGGTCTGGAAAAGGTATACTAGCTGTCAACATTTTTTCATCAATGAAATATGTATAATAATATGATATTTCAAAAGACTGCAGCTGTCATCAGTCAAGCATGCTATAAGTCTGAAGTTCTTTTTCCTCATTTATACATTTTTCTATCAAAGGTTGAAAGGCCATGATTGATTTCCAGCAAAGCACAAACTGACAATGCCAAAGTCTGCAGACTGCGCTATTTGATCAATAGAAATGGGTTTTACCCAATGTCAATTGACATGCACCAAAGGCTTGCAGAAAGGCACGAATGGAATGCAATATCTTTTGAAAGAGTTCATGCATGTATCAGTGCTTGTGTCGATGTAAGATTTAATTTTAACTTAAATTCAATTCCCAGTCCATTTTCTTTTCTTCTGTAAAATATCTACACAGTATCAAAGGGTTTACCCTGGACTTTGATGGAAACGAATTTCAGTGATTTAACTGGCATTCTTGATTGACATTTTTTCAGTTTTATATTTTCAATATTTATTTTAAAATTGGAGGTTGTCACAAATGCCATTAAACTTGTAGGACATTCCTGGAGTGACAGTCCCTGTTAAATGATGCCAATTGATTTAAAATTTCTTGGCACCAAATCATGTTTATCATAATGAAATTTCTAAAACACAATTAAAAAAGAAACATAAGGTTCAGTCTCCTCATGTTTAAAGGTAATGGCATTAAATGGACTTACATAAGTAAAGAAAACTACACTATTGACTAACATTTAAATAAGTATATGTTTATCAGTGAAGGTCAGCTAAACTCAGCTTCACAACTGCAACAGATACAGATTCATTTTTCGTGTGCTTTTGAAGGATGTACATTAGTATCACCGTAATAATCATGCATGATCATACATACATGATCATGATTTGAATTCAAACAAAGAAACGAATGACAGTCATTACATTTCATTTTAAAAAGGATTAAAATATAAATTCTGCAATATCTGACAAGAAAAACCTCTGCTTGGGAAACATTAATGTCTGCTGTTCTTGACATCAACAATTCAAAATCAGAAACAGCTGTTTGTATTCCTTTTTAAGAAGTCAATGAATCACCAAAGTCTTTAATTGATGATTCATAAAGAAAAACATATAATTATACTCACATTTCAAAAAAAAAAGTGATGAAACTATGGCCACTTACCGACTCTCCTGTAGTTTTATCCCTTGCTAACTTCACTTTCCCGTATGACCCCTCACCCAAAGTTTTCAGCAGCTCAAAGCGACTCTTCAGATTGTGGCGGTGTGAGTGAAGGAGAGGCTTCTGCCCCTCCCCAGATCCCCCTTCCGAACCCATATCCAAGTCAACTTCACACATCCGTGCTGGCATCGCAACACTTCAGGCAAAGCATTCAATCTTTCTGTTAATCAAAAGCGTATTGATTAACAATCAAATAATAAGAATCCATTTACATCTGCAACTGATCTGTCTCCTTAGGATCAGCAGTAAATATAATCAATGATCAAAAACTTCTGACATGTTCCAAAGATTTTTGTTTCTGAACACCATGTAAGTATAAAATAATCGTGCTTCCTCAAACGCTGACGATCATAAACTGAAGTAACCCAGTCACTCGTTAACACACACGACAAAGCTAAGATTAACTAAGAAGATCGACGGAGGCGGAGTTTAAAACGAACATAATGACTCAGTTAGCGTCTGTCAATTTCGTCTCGTCACGCTTCTTTTGTTTCGGTCACCTGTAAAGTCTACTTTCAGTTTGCACTATATCCTTCCGCAGCAACGCGCTATTGACATTTGAAATGATTGAATTAAAAATATCACTAAGGTATATTAAATAAATTTTAATACTAATCTGATGGCCATTCTCTAAATAACAAGATACAATTGAATTTTATTTTGATTTTTTTAACCGAACTATTTCGAACTATATTCTATAACGTAGTGCGTTAATTGGTTTATTTCCTGTAATATTCTTACTTCCTCTCTTTCATCAAGGAACTCCCCCCTTTTCATATAGCAATGTCTACACAGAAGCAGAGGCCAAAGAATGTCCCATCTCTACTCTTAAGAGACGACGAAAACGATGCACTGTTCTCCATGCTTGGCCGAGGATGTCTGGTAAGATTAAATATCCCTGTGCCAAGGAAAGAAACACCTTAAATTTGTGACTTCCTGGTATGATGAAATATGAATTGATTTTGCAGTATAAACTAGTAGATACTGATACTGTTAAAAATGTAAATTATAAGACAACTCAAAATGTGTATAATTCAATATTAATATCGCCATATTCTTTCTTAGAATGTTAAACACAAACCATATTATTTGTGATCATGTGATCTGTCAGTTTAAAATGTCATTTTTAAACCTTGTGTAATCATATTTTGTACAAAAATTCACAATAGTTAGTTTACTGTCTGATCTATTTTTCTGCATGAAGTATAAGGAATTTGCATACCACTTACTTACTTTACCAAAATATATATGAGTCTATATTTTCTTGAAAATATGTGATTTCCCCACCAGTTCCTTCTATTGTCATTCTGTGCATGTGTGTGCTCTCTTTCAGTTTTACAGTTTGGCCATATATGATATTTATAAATAATAAAAATACACAAGACTTGCTTAGTGTTGCTGGCACTTCACTTTTACTGCAGATATATCACCATCACTCATTTGGTTCAAGTCTTACTGTTTTGGTAATTGATCAAATTTACATACATTGGTGTTACTGGTACACAAACATTGAAGCAGCGAATTTTTTTATGCTAGAAAAGTTCAGTAAATTCCATTAAGGTTAGTGTTACTTAAAGCACCTTTTTTGGTCCAGAGGTGATGTGTTCATAATCCTATTTGTCAGGAATTATAGTCGAAATATAAATGATCCAGGAAAATGTCATAATTAATGAAAATTGAAAATAAAAGAAAATATAATAATAAATTTGAACTAAAGAAGGTCATTATATAATGAAATGTAAACATTTACCCGCAGTGGACAGTACTAAATCAAACCATGCTAAAACTGAAGGTGATAAGGAGGCTTTTTTGTTGTCTTTTTTTCTTTCCTATTTCTTTCAACTAAAAATTTATTTGGCAACAAGTTTTTACTACAATTTTTTAAGAGCTTTGTTTGGTAGAATAAAGAAAAATGTAATTATCCAGGAAAGTAAGACAGATTGGTTAACCCTTCATGGCCATGAAACAAATCATAGCACGAAGTTTGCCAAAATGCTGCAGGAAATATGCCTGACAGATTTCAAAGCCACAATGGAGAGTTGAGAAAAGAAACAGGTTTCCTGTATCAAACTCTCTATTGATACAAGGGGAGGAAATTAACTTAAAAGTTGCTTGTTCTTTTGACAATGATTGCTTTGTTCTGATGGTGTAATAGTCACTCAGCCATAACAGATAACATTTCCACAAATGTCACATTTTGCTAAATACTAATCACTTATCAAAACCTTTTAATGAAATTACTTTGATAATATTCTTTTTGCAAGATATGATGTAATTCAGGGAATCTTTAGATCTTTGCCCGAAAAGTTCTTGTACAGAGAAATATAAAGTTAAAGATTAATACAATGACCATGAAGAGTTTTGAAAATGAATGATACAGGTTAAAGTCTATGACCTAAGTTTATATACTGAATTTGATCATTTAATTAAATTCTAAACCAATGTTCAACTACTGAAAGATTTGAAAATCCCTAAGACTGAAATCAATTTACTTAAGTATAATAGTTTTGGCTGCAACTTCAACATATTTGGGGAGGGGGGGGGGATTAAAATGTCTGACATTATATATTACTCTATCACTGTTTTAATAAATATGTGGAAAAAAAACATAAGTCAGTCATCTTTAGAAAAACTTGCCTTCCATCATGTATCTGACCTCTCAAAGCAACAATACCCTGTCATATTTGACTTGGTGTCCATGGAAGAATGTCGGGATGAGATGAAGCTTTTGTTTATATGTAAGGTGGTTGAGAGCCAGGTACCGGCCCTTCCTTCAAGTTATTTAGACCTAGTTATTTAGGCAATGTGCTATATAGTTGCAACTTAGTTGTAAGATGTTGAATTAGCTCAAATATCCATGAGACTTTGCAGTAGATGTATAATGCCTATTTAGAATGCTCCTAGTATACAAAATATACATAAACAGCACATGCCACTTTTTAGTAGTTTGGTGTGATATGAATTTACGCATGTCACAGCATAAGAAACATTTAAACTATCAAATGAATGAAATTGTGCTGTATTATAAATGGAAAGGAAGATCTTGATCATTGCATCAAAATGAGTCAATTTTTCAATGACACATGTATGTTTGATTTTGACAGACCCTTGCCACTGGGGTAGTCCAGCTGTATACAGCGGATCCTCCCATGAGACAAAGGTGGAGTAAACGGATTGCTGGGATTGCCTGCTTCATCAAGGACAACCAAAAGAGGTCATACTTCATAAGGGTTTATGACCTTAAGGTGAGTAGAAACCATAAAAAAAAACATTCTATTTTATTCAAGTTTAATTGGTTCTTCATTTTTATTGTCTGAATACTTGGCTACTTGTATTAATCTAATAAGACTTTTCCACTCTTAATTTTTATGATCATGAATTTTTTTCTGTTCCATTGTCGCTACATGCTTCATCACTCACAGACAGCGATTCTGTTTGATTTTTTAACATGTTAGAAAACTGCTAGTAAGCATTTGATTGCCTGTTATGATCTGTGCAGCATTTGATGGGTTGCCATGACCCAAAAAAGGAATATGTACACATACTTTGAAGAAATTCAGTTTTGAAATTGGAGAAAAGGGGTTCCATATTATCTTTAGTTACTGGCATTTTCTTTAAAAACTTTTTTAATTGTCAAAAAAAAAAAATACGCAAGCCTTGTGCAATTTGACATTTTAAAAAATACCAGTAACTAACTCACATAATTCCATTCCTAGTTGATTTCCATAGCAATACACTGTACATAGAAAATATGATATATAGTGAAATGAAGATATTGAGTAAGACTTTGTAAAACCAAATAAATCACCCTTTTTCAATTTTGTTAATGAATATATGCAGAATGAAACCATTATGTTTGGTGCCTCATGCAAACATCTCACTATGAAGAATCTACAGTTTATATATAGTCACATCCCTCTTCAAACATGTTCATGAACATCAGTGTGCTTAGTGGTAACATGATTCTACAATTTCTTGGATCTGTGTCATCTTCATTCTGCTTCAAGGGATTACATTGGGAGTTAAACAGTTGTATAGCATTCAAATTTGTTGCTAATATTTTGCTAGACTTTTAGAATTATCATTAGGTTAATTCACTTAAAAAAAATCCAATCTGTATTAGCTTTATATATGGAACAAGAAATGAGTAAAACCCCACTTAGATTCCAAGCAACTAAAGAATTGTTTCTATACTAAACTAAATTATACCTGACATTAAAAAAAATCAAGAAATGGAAAAGACATACTTTTTCTAACTACTGTAAATAAAACTTGATTTCTGACTTCATGAATACCAGTTTTACTAGATAGCATAATCTCTCTTTAGGACCCAGTGATTATAACCTTTGTACATGGGATCTAAGTTTATGTACACTAATGAAGAGTCATTCATATGCCTGGTGCAAGTTTATCCCTGACCCCTGTTTTTTTTTTCCTGTAAGAAACTATCAGTGTTTAAACAATTTAGTAAAAGCTTTTGGTAAAAACAGACAAATTACCAAACTCCTACGTTTCCATAACATTGTCATTCCAGTCGACCAATCAAATCACTGCTGTAATTCACTTCCTTGTTGATTGCATGTCTGTTTAATTTTAATATTCTGTACAAAATATGCTCATTTATAATTTGTAACCTGCTTTTTACTCAAATTAAAATTTGGTTTCCTTGATAAGAAATTGACATTCATCTGAATGACAATTTATTTTAAGAACGGTAATTTCATTTTTATGTTCTAGTTAAACATAAAACAGCATTCCATTACCTCTTACAAGATATTCTTTCTTGTTTTTCGTAACATGCATATTATTGCACATGATTTTACATGCCTTCATTAAGTATAGAATTTTTTCTTATGTTCATGATGTTTCAAGATGATTTTGCTGTTTTTATTTACAACACAAAATGAAATCTTGTTTTGTATATCGAGGTTTACCGAGAATCAGACATTTATTATATCAATATATCTTTGCTTCCTTCTTTTTCATTTGAAAAAAAGAAAAAAACATTTTATTTCCTTAAAATTCAATTATAACAATGATGGAATATTAATAATCAGATGGTGACAATGTTAAAGTATTGTAGTGCAGTTAAATTCATTATAATTTGTGTGCTGCATCTTAAGGCAGTTTGTGGAATTCCCCTTTGGGGAGGCGTGTTATTCATGAGGGACCTTCAGACCTTACAAAATAGTTCCTCAAGCAAGCATGATGCTTGAGGTCAATTATTATACATTTTTGCTTATAATGGGTCATTGATAATCACGTAAGGTAATTTATTTGCAGTTCCCCAAAGAAAAGAATGCATTGTAATATATGTTATAATAATCATGATTTTTTTTTATTTCTTCTTTGCTCATTCATCATTTCTTTTCTAAGTCTGACCTTTGAATCTTGCTTGTGTCGCAGGTCTTCATCAATGATAATCAATCATACAGTCCCTGAAACGTTCTACTTTCCCACTTGAACGGTGAGCGAACGCTGAACGAACGGTGAACGAACGCTGAACGAACGCAGAGCGAACGGTGAGTGAACGATGTGTGAACGCTGAACGCAACTTGGTGAACGATGTGTGAACGCTGAACGGTGAGCGAACGCAGAACGCGAACGGAGCGCAAACGCGAACGCAAAGTGAACGGTGAACGAACGGTGAACGCAAGATGAACGATATATTCGGAATGCCTCTGATCTTTTCCTTGCATTGAAACTATTTTATTGTTTTATTATGTCAAGTGCCAAAATAAATAAATAAATAAATCAATCAATAATAAATAAGTAAACCAATAACTGAATGAATAAATAAGTCAATAAAATAAATTCTCCAAAATTGTCCTGAGAAAGACGATGCATGCACATTAAGTTTTTAATCACACGATTTTTATCGCATTAAAACATTGCAATTGTTGCCGAACGCTGAAGTATAAGAGATATTTTTTTAGTTGGAAAATAAAAATGTGTTTATTCTTATTTGATAACAAATCAGAGAAAACTTCTGACTTATAGAATGAATTAAAGTGGTTGTAACATCCATTCATATAACTCCGTGTTAAGGCGATTTCGTGTAAAGTAATGAAAAAAAAATAATTACATAGGTCAGTGGACGTTTTGCATTTATACGCTCGCATTTTAAATTTTTAATACAATAATATATTATGTGTCATTTCTATTTTACTTGATGGTTTATCAGGCCCGTAGGAAGCAAATTCGGTTGGGGGGGGGGGGGCACAGCCATACATTTTCAGTTGATAGTTGAGGGGGCACTACCAAAAATTTCCTGACAAGCAAAAAAAAAAAAAAGATCATCAGACTTTTTATTGCGGGGGCACAAGCATATAGTATCTATGTTTACTATAATAATCTATATATCGGCAAAATTATTGGGGAGGGGGGCACGCCCCCCTTGCCCCCCCCCCCTCGGTTCCTACGGCCATGTTTACTGAGCAGACTTCTACATTTATCTGTAGATGGCCGTGATTATACTCGGACAAGATAATACAAAGATACATATTCATATTACTTGTTATAAATTCAATTTTCAGAACTTGATATTCAAGTAATATGCTGTTATAGTTTTTATTAAACAGACAAATGAGAGAGAGAGAGAGAGAGAGAGAGAGAGAGAAATATATTGTACCTATATCAAACAAAAACTCTGAAATTTTTTTCTAAGTATATCAGACAGTGAAAGTAACTTTTTTTTATCAACAAATCAAATCCATTTGTTTGACAGTCATACTCGTTTTTTTTATTTTCCTGCTTCAAGTTCACACGAAGTCCACGTGCTTGTCCTGTCAATCAAAATCATTCGACTGTGCAGGTGTGAAAGTTTCGTCACATCGAAGACGAAGTGCGAGTATTTCCAACAAGTTATAACATTTATTTTTATCATTTCTAGATTTGATTCCAACATTTGAATAATAATTGAATAAAATACATAGTGCATTAACACTTGAATTTGAAACATACTCTCTGCCAATTCCAAATACCACCGCCGACACCTGTACATTTTGAACTACTATTGTTTTGTGACTTTTTTAGATGCCTGTTTGTTTTGAGACTGAAATTCTTGTTCTAAATAAGACCTTAACTTTTTTTTTTAAAATGTTAATTAAAATATTCTGGAAATACAATACTAACTAAGTAACCAATTTAGGGGGAAAAGGGGGGGTATTAATCATATCGAATGACAAACATATAAAGTTACGGTGAAGAAAGATTTTTTTTTCTCTATAACTATAGACTTTACATATTATAGTAGAGAAAATTCTGTAGTGCATTACATTTTAAATAAATATTTCCTTTAACCACACCATCAATTTAATTCGCTCTAAAGATAATAAATTAATACGATATCCGCAGTACTATGTATAACTCTCAGAACTATCATTGTATCATATTTTCTGTAGTAATTGAAAAAAAAGTGTTACAAATAAATATTTTCGTAATTTTGCTACGTAATTATTTGACTTGGATAATTATATCTCCATTAACGATTTGTCGTCTTTAACAAAACAACAAAATGTTGCAGTGCTTGAAGTATTTGCACATTGCCTTTAGTTAAATTTAATATTTCAGCATCGTTCTACATAGGTACAGAATGTGCTTATAACAACATTTATTTTCCAGAGTAATTTAATAAATAACCTTACAGCTGAGTTAGAATAATAAAAATATATATCGTAGATATTTTCCCCCATGAAATAATGATTCTTCAAACACGATATGTAAGTTATTAAATTAAAAAACCTGTACGAAAAGATAAGTCCTTTCACTTCGGAGTTCCGAATGACAATGAAAACTGAACGATAGGTGAACGCTGAACGCAAGGTGAACGCAAAGTGAACGGAACGAAGAGCGAACGCTGAACGCTTTGTGAACGGTGAACGCGAGCGCACGGTGAACGGTGAACGCAAAACTGTGAACGGAGAGCGAACGGTGAACGCACGGTGAACGAACGGTGAACGCACGCTGAACGAACGGTGAACGAACGGTGAGCGAACGGAAAAATGGGAAAGTAGAACGTTTCAGGGACTGTAATCTTTTTCAGGACAAGAGTTAAACTAAACATGTAAATTGATTTAAATGAGAAAATTTAATTTTAGCTTTATTCTGAAGCAATTACACTTGCTAGCAGTCTGATTCCATTCAAATATTATTTAATAATTCCATATACCAAACATTAATTAATGAGATATTCCTGATATAGTTTATCTGTTCTCAGATCGAATTCAGACATAGGTTAAAAACCATGTGAAGGTAAAATGTAGCTGAAGAAATTCAGTTACTTTATTTACAGTAAAAAACTTCTTATATATGCACATTACAGTAATTATTTTCATGTTCAGTTTTTGCCCCTTGTGCACCTTTTGGTAGGGCTCTTGTCGAATAGGTCACTAGGACACTGGGTTTGAGGTGTCAGAGACGCAGTTTGTACGCAGAAGCATTACTGTTAACAAGTAGCGAACAGCAGTCAGAGAACCAGTTTATATGATAAAGATGAATCAGTAACCTTATCGTACTTATGAACAAATGCCAACAACCCAAGCTAGAAGACATCACAATTGTTTAACAATAAAATATAGATCTTCAGTGATACATGTTCTCTGTCAATGACCCTGTAGGTTTTGTACGAGACTTGTCAATTTTAATTGTTAAATTAGTTTGTAAAATGATGTTTCTTTGAAGAAGCCTTTCGCAAGTACAGACAACTTGGTGTAATTTTTCTCTGTGATTTGTCAATCTAATGGTTTCTTGTATTGATGATTCACAATTTCTGATCATTTGTTTGATTTTCTGATATATTTGATGTTGATAATGTCTTGTTAGTTGATTTCTAAATCACTTTCGATCGTGTCAGTGACCGATGAAAAGTACTGTAACAATTATCACAGATGTTTAAAGTGCGTAATTAAAAATTTAAATGTTTTTCGAAACATAAAATCATTTTCTTTCACAAACTATTGTGTATATTAAGGTTCAATGGCATTTATAAACAGAGAAATTAACCTAATAAGACTTAGGAAAAATGGTAGCTGTATATTGGAAAATTAATTTTTTTGTACCAAAATTTACATCGAACAATGATTTATGCATAAATTACCCATTTTACAGCAACGACAGTGTGTTTGGGAGCAGGAAATCTACAACCAGTTCCGTTATAAGTCACCTCGAGACTATTTCCATACATTCGAAGCTGAGGTATATATCCTTTATGTTCATTATAATATCTCATTACAATTCAGCATGGGACATGCAGTTTACATAGGGTGAAAATAAGAACAACAATTCTATGAAGTTAGGAAGACTGAAAATTGATGTAATAAAAGAAACTTAAATTAATAACATTTATGAATGTTACATACATGTATGTTTGTCATGTCCTCAAATATGAACCATCATTATATAAGTTAATTTTAGTTGAAAAGCATCATTTGATTGGATAAAAAAATTAGTTTATACCCTATAACCTGTATGTCACAATGACTTACGTCAAAAAATTATCTGCTTGACGTTACATTTGAAATATGTTCAATTTGAAGGCACTTTTGAAGGAGAAATTGTCTTATTTTCTTTAAAATTTCTTTGAAAATTAAATTATAAGGAATGAATTTAAAAGCTACCCAAGTTATACTGGTATAACCTGGGTTGGAACAGTTAAGCTTTTTTATAAACCACTTTGTGGTTTATAAAGCATAAACTGCCCCAACCCAGGTTAAACAGTATAAGTTGGGTAGCTATTTAATTCATTCCTTAAATAATTGATGGTGTCTCATAATAGTACATTTTGTCACAGGATTCTCAAGCAGGATTAAATTTTGCAAGTGAGGATGAAGCATTTAAATTCAAGAACAACGTGGAGCAGAAGTTACTGGAACGTCACAGGAGGAGAATCGGTATTCTCATGTTCACACTAAATTTACAAGTGTTTATGCAAATTTTTTAATTTATTAAAATGTTTTTTTTTTCTTTTTTTTTTTAACAAGCTGAAAAGATTTCTGCTATATTAAAATTTGGACTATTAAGTCTTTGCAATTTCAAAATATTTGAAGAAGATAAAAATAAGGATCAGAATTATTTACTATCAGCTAAAAAAAAAAAATTAAAAGAAAGAACAAAGGTAAGAAGTCTGTAATACACAACAAGAAAGATAACTCTTACTTTTGTAGAGAAGAAGAGTAACAAAGGGCAGAACACTCCTGCACAGCCGAGGACAGTACAGGTCAACATTGCTCCAGGTAACCATAGAAACAGACGTATATTTCAGTCTGAAATCTTCAATAGCATTGAATTTC